GAGGGGATACTATATTTCAATAATATCAAAAAATAATTAAAAATATATCGCATGCCTGCTTACAGTTTAACTTTGAAAATGGTCAATTCTGCCATAGAGTCCCATGTGTTTGGAAAATAAAATAAAATATTTGAAAATGTTTTATGTCTATCATAAGTGCAATTTAATCCTAATTTGAATAGAACAAAAAATTTTTAAAAACTTTTAACTTTAAGGGGTTTATTAAGGGTTATAAAAATACAAAAACACTAATAAAAAGAGTGAATGCACTTTATTGATTTATAAAACAATTTATAAAACCTGTAAATGTTAATATAAAAAAATTTTTGTTCTATTCAAATTAGGATTAAATTGCACTTATGATAGACATAAAACATTTTCAAATATTATATTTTATTTTCCAAACACAGGACTCTATGGCAGAATTGACCATTTTCAAAGTTAAACTGTAAGCAGGCATGCAATATATTTTTAATTATTTTTTGATATTATTGAAATATAGTATCCCCTCTACCATACCCTTACTCCATATCATTGTAACATAAGTAAACTGCGCTGACCATGGGTCCAGCATACCATCCAATATCACAGAATATTCTTGATGTTATAAAAAATATTCTTGTTTATTCAGGGCTACCTCATAATGAACTTTAAATGTGCCAGAGTATAGATTTTAGTTACAAGTAATAACCGAGATATTAAACAATCTGTCATCTTGGAAGTTATTGAATGACTTTATACTAATTATAAATTTATATAAGTAACCTAAAAACTTGATCTTGAAAACTCTGATCTTTCAACATGATTGAAATAAGATATTTGAAAACATGAATTTTTGGTTAAGTTCTATTGATCTTTATAATAATAAAGTATAGGGAAATAACCTTTATTGTCCAGATTAATAATTGAAATTTATTTGACAAGTATTGGTGTTTAAAATAAAATAATAATTAATAATAAATTTTTAAATGAAAAAATGTCACTTAATCATAGAAAGCTAAAACAATTTAAAGAGAAATATTTCCTCAATTACCGTATTGCCACTAGACCACGTCGGAATTACCTTTGTTTGGATATGTGCTCTGAAACAATCCTTTAGCTATTTGGACCCATCGATTTGTGTCAATATCATGCCCTGATCCTCTTTCTTTCAAAAACCACTTATACAATTGCCGTTCCATCTCAAAGTATTTAGCCTTTTACATGCGTTTTTGAGGATCCGTTATTTTCCTCACAATTCTTACTCTGATTGAATTGTCAGCTAAATATAATCTATTTATAGTTAGAATTAATCCAACCAAAGTGGGAAACAAAAGCCAATCAAAACCATAGAAATTTATTACTCTATGAATAATAAAAATCCGTATAATTTATAAATATTTTATAAAATTTTTCAAACCTTTTAGTTGAAGATATTTCTCTTCATCTTTCTTCCAGTCTTGTATTACACTTCTCTTAATACCTGTAAGTCTTTATGCTTCGCAATTATTATCATTCACTTCCTCTAAGATCTTCAATACTTCTAATTTCTTCTCAACGGTATAAAACAATCTTCTTCTTTTGTTTGGTGGTTCATCTGTACCATTTTGATTGATATCACCAGACATTATGATATCCTAGCCACTAGACCACGTCGGAATGTTTAAAAATCTGTTAAATAATTGAGTATTTTATAGTTTAAAAAACACAATGAATGCAAAGCATTTAAAATGCATAAAATTTTCACTTCTTAGTCTTAGGACCACCTGTTTAGATATTGATAAGATATTTGATAAGATTATAAACACTTAATTCAATGTATAAACTTTTACACACTTATTTGTAAATATTAGTTTATTGAAATTTAAATTTAAAAACATGTTTTAGACCTCACTTATAACGGCATGCCGGAATACCCCGGGGTATAACGGCAGTCTCATCAGCCTCACTTTATACCGGCATGCAGGTGGATATGCGGGAATACGGTAGTTAAATTTTAATGTTTAAATTCTTAACTTGAAAACAGTTATGTATTGTAAGATTATTTTCAATGTTTTCAATGCCATCTATCAATGGAAAGATGCGATATTTGAACAGCTCTAGCACATTTATTTGTAGTGAAAATTGAAAAATTTAAAATATAACTCAAGAGCACATTTTGAGCTCTATCCAACGCACAAATTAGATTTATGCTAAGACTTGTAGTTTTCCCTCTATAAAATACAACCCTTTCCTCCCGGTGCTACAAATTAACAAAATATTTTTAATTTTTATATGATAGAGAATTAAATTCTCTACATTTCCCATATCATAACTTTGCTATACTCATATTGATTAATTTTCTATAATTAATTAAAGATGTGATTTGTTGAAATACCCGGCCTCCCTGTGCTCTAACCATTAAGTTTGGATACAAACAATTGACACCATGTATCCGTAGAATTTTACGCTCTTTCTGATGGTGCTCTCAGATTCACTCTAGGACTTATAGTTTTTGATCTAAAGCATAATACTTAAAACCTACCAGCCCCTTACAAATAGGTGTCTGTCCATTGGAGTACAGAAAGAAAATGAAAATATGGAAAAAGTATATTTTCAAATTATTTTTAATCAATGTAGTTTTTTAAATAACGATTTTGACAGTACTTTGTTTCCACCTCAATATTTGTCAAGTATTTTTTGTAGTTTATTCAAAAACACAAGTATTTTATATTTTAGATCTGGTCACACTGGTTCCATGTTAAAATTACTTTTAAACCACATTAATATAAATGTAATATGACTAATTTTATTTTATTTAAAGGGTGATTCCGGTGATCCGCTTATTCAGTACGTAAATGGCAGGGCTGTGCTAATGGGTGTAAATGTCTATGCTAATAATGACAATGCAACATGTTCAGGGTACCCTTCTTACCGTGCTTGGTCAATTAGAGTTAGTCGTAAAGTGGACTTCATATTGAATATCTATAACAGACATTAAAGGATTTTTGGTTATAGGATATGTATATTTTGGGGTGTAATTGTAATGTCTAAATAAAATTTAACGATACCTATTTTAAAGCATAAGCACGATTGATGAGGACCAAGATAAAAAATTTACGAAGATTTAAAAATAGAACGAGCTCATTAAAATACCATATTTTTATAATAAAGTCAAACTGTAAAAAGATCGATTTTTCAAAAGATCGTAATTCTTACAATTCATAAAATTAATAATATATGATCAATATTTATTTAAAATTCATTTTAATTTATTTCATTTTACAAGAATATAATAATATTATGCTTAATCATGAAATAGTCGTAAATATTAAAATAAGCATTGAATTTATACAGAAACTATGTACCGTATTCAGATAATTTGTAATTTTATAGTTTAATAAACGGTTCTGTACTAATATAGTTGACAACTTATGAAAACTGTAGACAAATCTATTGTCAAACAATGGAATAATAATCTAAAAGTATTACTGCTTAATTATTAATTAATTAGTAACCTGTATTGTAATATCAATAAAACATTTAAATGTATATCAATTATATTTGTAATATTAGATTATAATGTTAAAAATTATTAATTAATCGTAAACTATAAATACTAATTCATGCAGAATAAAACTACATTAAACCCTTAAGATAAGCATGGTTAATTTGACTATGAAAATGATCATGCACCTATCGTCGACAGCAGCATCTCGATGGTGACCATCGCAATGGTTGTCGCTGTGATCGACAATACAAGACTATGTATGCCAACAATCTGAAACCAATTATGAATGTGACCAAGACCCAAATGTTTCGGCCCAAATGATCAACGTGGAAATCCAACACATCCTCGATCACTTCCTGACCGGTCGATATGCACGGTATGGTCGAATTACAACCCTTTGGACAGTCATCAAACTGGACACCATTCCACTCGTTAATCACCAACGCCTCGAAGCCGTAGTTAAGCCAGGACAGGCAGTAAAAGTACTTGACCCAAGCTGATGTGGTGCTGACAAATTAAATGCAGTTTTACATTAATGGCATTTGTGTGTGATATATACTGTACAATAACAATTGTAAGTTATAAACTTCAAATTCAAAAGTCCATGCAAAATACACACAAATTTTTAAATATTTACCCTTCAAACCATAATTTCTGTTATATACAGGATTTAAATCTATGGTCGAGTGTAATAATAGTGTTTAATAAAGTGCTTGATGTGTCGTGTAGTGTATATAGGCCTTGATTATCATTATATTGATAGAGTTAAACTCTTGCTATCTTTAAAGTTTATTAAAAATATTTATTCAAAGTTATAATTTATTTGATTACTGCTTTATCCACTTTTTAACATTAGACAAACAACAGTTATTATTAAACGCTAAATCTCTAGTATTTATTTAAACGGTTCTAGACTATTATAAACTTTTTTTTGCTTTCAACATTTTGTTGCTGACGACTAACTATTAAAATCTTTATAACTAAACTCATACATTTCATCCAATAAAGTTTTAAATAGTCTTCAGCAACAAAATTTTAGAGTATTAAAAGATAAGCCTATACTAAAGGGTATTTATTTTCAAACCAAGGATTGGGTATTTAAAATAAAAATATTAAACATTTGAATATTTTAATGAAAAGTACTTCAAAATGTTCACCGATAATGAACATTTTATGCGACTATCACCAAATTTGCATAGCATTTGTACCTAGGTCATAATCTTAATGTAAAGTCAAAAGCGCTTATGTTGAGTGCACAAATAATTAGTGCTTTCCGTACAGTGCTATAGACTAATACAGTGCGACACGCATTGCAGTGAATGTCAAAGAATTGACTCAATGGATGCATGCATTGTATAGCACTGTATGGAAATCACTATTTTTTGTGCACTCAAAACACGCGCTTCTAACTTTACATTAAGATTATGAACTTGGTACAAATGTTGTGCAAATTTGATTACATAATCATAAAATGTTCATTATTGGTGAACATTTTGAGATACTTTTCATTTAAAAATTCAAATGTTTAATATTTTAATTTTAAATACCAATCCTTGGTTTGAAAATAATTACCCTTTAGTTTGATATGGTTAGAATAATACTACAAACGTACTTATAATTGTAAACTAACTATAATTATTAAATTAATTATATTAAATTTATGAAAATAATAACAAAAAATATTAAACTCAACTCTTTGTCCAGTAGGTATCCACCAAACATTATGATCGGGGTCAGTATTAGTGACCCTAATTTCAGAGCAGTGTCGGCCGAGGAGGTTACGCATGACATGAAATAACCTTTAAGTGTATATCAGGGCGAGAACATAAGGAATGTATAATTAAAATATGACATTATAATATACGCATTGTGTATTTACTTTATTGATGTTTGCCTTACAACAATTATATATTTGTATTGTAGTAGTATAGGTACGATATAAATTTGATTTGGAGGGACTTTTGACTCGTAACCAATAAATGAATGCATATGACTAAAACATCAAAGAGTAGCTTATGTAGTAGTAAATGTTGCAAGCTTTTCACATTTAATATACAATTTGGAAAGGAGTTTTGTCATTTGTTGATTGTGTTAATGCAAGCAATGTGAAATCCAATGCATTATTTAGTTTCATACATAAGCTAGTCTGAATTTTGGATTCATATAATAAACACTACATACTATACGATATGGCACATTGACTGATGAGTATGACGATTGCCATAGCAGTAAAGAATCGGGTGGAGTCGGCGTTGAGACCCACCATAAAGTAGTAAATTATCACAAATACTATGGTCTGCAGTAAATATATTGGCAACTATAGTCACAGAATTGTTAATAAAATTAACTATGTTAAAAATTGAGCACATTTTTAATTAATTAATGCGTACATCGACTATGTTTTGGGCTATAAAATACACGTCCACTCTATACATGCGATTGTGGTGTTCCCTCAGAAATAGTGGTCGCGCCCCACAGAATGTCTATATATTGTAAATACAAATTGTAATTATAAATAATTAACTGATCTACATTTAGCTTATTACATTGATGATAGACATCATGCTTATGATTGTCATATTGATGAGTAGAAGAAATAGTGAGGAGTTTATATTTCTAATAGATTGCTGGTTCACATTTTGTTGCAAATATGCTGAACCCATTAATGGAGCAATTAACTGTGTGTAAGATATCAGACATTATTTATCTATTGTACTGTATTTTTATAAGTGGTAAATCAGATCGTAAGGAAAATTTTAATGTATTAATATTCAACACAAGGGTTTTTAAATAATAGTCTATTAGAATGAAAAAATTAAACTATAATTTATTTTCAAAAAATAATATAATAACTTAGGAATCTGGATATTAATTCTGTATAAATTATAATATAATTAGTTTTTTCTTGAAAATCATTTCATTGTCTCTGAGATCTACTGGGGAGGACTTTCCGATAAAAGGACAATCCTCTTTAATAGACGGTCGGCCCTAGGCTGTGGTAATGCTAAACAGTACTGTTACGGTTAATTTGATCAGTTTACAAAGTTTTCAAGTTATTTTGAAATATGTTTGTTTGGTTTTTGGAATTATTCTTTCATAAGATCCATAATGTAATTTTTTAACAAAAGTTTAAACAATCAAAATGCTTCAAAACTTGGTTAATACCAATCCAATTGCAACATATAAGATGCTCCTTCCACGGTATACGATAAGAATTAACCGCCATAATAATGCACACATTTGTCGTCTAACTCCAGCCAGGTAATTTGGAGCCCGAAATATAAACTCGGCACCATTAGTATCCGGTCCTCTCTCCGGATTTTCTAACACAAATGTGTCATATGCATTGCATATAGACTACAAATTAAGCAAGATACAATTAGGAGTTCATTATCATGTAATAAAATTTTAATAGGGCACTTAGTTGGAAACATTGATTAACGAACATTGCCTGTGTAGTTATGATTGTTGAGAATTGTTAACCAGTAACATAATCAACAATTTGAATTGACTAAACCTGACGAATTAAGTAAATTAGCTTGTAAATTTACGTAAAACTATCGCTGACATCCTCATTTTGTCATTTAAATAACAGAATTAATAGTATTCAATGTTATATCATTATTTTGTGTTCATAAATAGGTAATTATTGCTAAAATTATCTTATGTTTAAAGCAGTTGATACGATGGCCTAAAGATATATTCATCTTATGTACTGTCAATAAAACTTCTGTTATTTAAATGACAAAATGAGGATGTCAGCGATAGTTTTACGTAAATTTACAAGCTAATTTACTTAATTCGCCAGGTTCAGTCAATTCAAATTGTTGATTATTTTACTGGTTAACAATTCTCAACAATGTAATTACATTAATTCTATCCAAGGACTCCGCTTCCCTTCCGGGTATTACCGCTATAATTTTGTGAAAAAATATTTAATAAATTTTAACAGATTTAAAGATATTTAGTGATTACCCAATTGTTCAATATAGAAGTCAGCTGGGTTGTAATTAATTGGGCACGTCTATTAAATAATATTTAAAATTTAATATTATATTTAGGTAAATTTAAATCTTACATATTCCAAACTTGCGAACAATTCCCGCGCATTCACTAACAAATAAATTATTTTTATTTTAGTTAATATGCAAAAACTCATATGAAAGTTCATTTGAATTACATTCATGTGAATATATCTATATACATATAGCATTAGAATGATATATAAATTAACTTATAAATTATGGTACTTAGGTGGATAGACACAATTAATATAAAGTTATGTTTAAAACTTACGTAATATATAAAATTGATTACTACATTTTTATTGTTATTTAAATAATTAACTCTAATCTGGCAAATATTAACATTTGGATTAGTTATGGTCACCCATATGTTGTAGTATATTTACTTTGCATGAATTATAAATATTGTCTAAAAATGCACTTGACCATAGCTAACCCAAACTTTAATATTAGCTCAACAAACTTTTCTATAATTTTTTATATAAAAGTGGCGACAAAAGGGTTGTTACTCGTTCTATTAGATTAACTATGGGTTAGAATTGAGCTAGATTAAAACAAAATTTTTTGCAACTATTGTTTTTTAGCACGAATATTTTTGGGTTCTCTTAGCAGGGTTCGAAAGATCTTTCAAAATACTAAAGATCATTTGCTGGCATGAACAGTGCATCAAGATCAACAAACCTTCTACTCTGCAAATCAATATTTCCTATGCAATTAATTTATCACTTAATTAATTAATCTTATTGTTTTACACCTTCACCTGTAAAAATAAAATTCATAGGAAATATTGATTTATAGAATAGAGGGTTTGTTGTTCTTGATACACTGTTCATGCCAACAAATGATCTTTAGTATTTTGAAAGATTTTTCGAACCCTGCTAAGAGATCCCAAATACCTTGACCCATCGCTGAGATAACTACGCCTAAAAATTACAATATTTGACATTTAGGAAATTTTTAAAAATCAACGGAGTAAAATTTCGACAAATCAAGAAATAACTTTTCTAGGAATGACCTCGAGCATAATTTCCAAAAATCAGAACTTAAAAATATTGTAATTTTTGAGATCTAAGCAATGTGTTGTAGCTACCGTTCCCTTAAGATTTAAGGGAAAGTTGGCATACGAGTATATTCGTGCCAAAAAACAATAGTTGCAAAAAATTTTGTTATAATCTAGCTCAATTCTAGCCCATAGTTAATCTAATACAACGAGTAACAACCCTTTTGGCGCCGCTTTTATTTTTAGTATTGTTTTAAACTTAACCTTGTATTATTGTTGTGCTATCTTTTAAATATAATACTTTGAGTTGCTAGTAATTATGCTAGTAAAAATAATCAAAATAAAATACCTATCTCTCCCATAAAAGCCACCCTTCCTTTAACTAAAAGTAATAAGTGCTCAAAAAGTTGAAACACTTCGGACGAGGGTTGATGTATAGTACAGATGATAGTCCGTCCCTCCAATGCCATTGACCTCAACTCCTGGATCATACATCTGGCCATAAATGAGTCCAAACCAGAAGTGGGCTCATCGCTAACAATATAAGCAAGTTAATAAAATTGATAATATTAAGTGACATTTAAGTGTTTGGTAACTCACCAAAACATTATAGCCGGATTTTTTAAATACTTTGGAAAATAATTTGAATTAAACAGATATTAATAGGAAATGAATTATACTTCGGATGCAAAAGACAATCGTTTAGCTTGACCTCCAGATATGCCCTTAAATGTTGAATCGCTTCCAATTTTTATATCTCTACAATCCGTTAAACTAAACTGAATTTAATAAACTAATTATTTATTTAAATATTTTTAATTTTCTAAATAGAATAGATGTATCTTAAACTAACATAGCCACTAACTAGACATCAATATTAACATAGTAACCTGGTTATTTTACAAAAAAACTATTTCCATTTACAAAACTATTGCACATACTTTCTCGATAATATTGTCCACCCGACGTTCCCTATCAACTTTTGTCAAGCCCTGGTCCATTCTTAACCGTGCCTATATGTAATAGGTGAGATTAGTATCAATATTATTGTCAAAACAAATCCGTAATAATTACATGAAAAATGAGGTGTTCCCGAACGGTGAGCACCGGCTCAAACAAGTCGTTTTGTTGTACGTACCCCGACTCATTTACTATAGTATTACCGTCGGCAGCAATACCGTTTAAAAAGACACCTCCCCTTACATCCATTCCCTTCAGATATCTTCCCGCCAATCGAGTTAATAGTGTTGTCTTTCCAGATCCACTGAATTCAAAACAGTTTTAAATAAATTTATACAACTCATAAAAATGTGCATTCAATTTGGCCACACCTTAAGCCCATTATAGCCATTAGCTGTCCCGGTCTTACCACTCCAGATACTAGTAATCAAATTAACTAATTAGTCATTATATACGCCCTTCGAACTAACTATCCAACGTGCGGGATATGGATTATCTCTTGAATGGATAATCCAGTCCTTAATCTATATTCATGGTTTTATATCCCCAACATACCGGTTTTTAAAAATATTCTATATGTCATATAAATATACCAAGATAACTGCTTAATTTGATTTCGTAAAAATATATTCCATTTTTAAATTCTCATAGGAAATACTGTACATTGTTCGTAAATTTTTATATTATGAATTATTTTCAATACAAATTAAATCAAAAAATTCTGAAACTTGTTTTGCAAAGCTTAATTACGCTGTTATCATGGTGAATTTATATGGGTTATAGTATATTTTTAAAAACCGGTAAGTTGGGACTATAAAACCTTGGATAATCGGTTCACGAAATAATCCATTTCCCGTACGGTCAATAGTTACTTCGAGGGGTATATATATATTTGAAGTTTTTATATGGTTTTCTGTTAGAAATAAAAACATTTATCAAAATCACTGCTTCCCTCAACTTCCAACTTGTAATTGCGCAAAAATATATTTAATTTTAAATATTTATATTATTATAATTACAAAATATATTCTACTTTTTATAAACAGATTAATTAATTTATAATATCGGCCTCTAGTAAATTAAATTATATATTAACCTTTATTACTAATAAATCACATTAATTAGAATAGCGTATTATATCAATTAGCTTTATGTCAACCTTGGTTAATATTACATTTTATTAGAAAATTATAAATCAGGAATACTTATAATTATTCATTATGAATAAACAATAATTCCATAATAATGGCTAATAAAAGCCACACTTAAGGCTGCCACCTATTTTCAGAGCCCTAGAGAATTAATTGCCAAAATTTAGGCCAAAATTGAGTGAGGTTATTCGATAATTTTTGCTCCTGTTCTCATAATATAAGAAACCTGTCTTTCTATTGAAAGCATTGGCTGTATAACTCTTAATTAAGTAAAACCTAC